CGTGGGGAGCGTCTCCTCCCGGCCCCTGCCCAGAGCTGCCTGTGGGTGCCAGGGCAATTGCCTGAGGCTCGGGGCTGTGGCAGGTCCAGCGGGACAGGGTAGTGTACATCTCTGCACAGCAGTGGGACTCGGGGAGCTCCGAGGGCTCGCGGGGCACCCCGAGGCTCTGCCCAGCTCTCTGTGTTGGTAAACACATTCACCGTCTGCACAAACTGTACAGCATCACGAGAAGTAGAGAAGAAAAGCGTTTCATACATACTTCGTCTTTGCCTCTTGCCCTTCACCACTTTGCTGCTGCCTGTTAGATCCATTGAGCTTAGAAAAACCACCACCACAAACAGTCCAAGCTGCATAGTAACTCTCCAGCGCTGCAGCCCCTCCGTCGCAGGGTGGTCGGAGAAGCCCACTCCACAGCTGGGGATCTCTCTGCTGCCGCTAAAACGTCTCAGGCTGGATCAGAGCTGAGAGTCTGTGCACGAAGCCTGGTATGGGACCATATCCACAAACTACATCAGCAACAGCGAGCTTAGGTAGCAGGTAACATGGCTCTACCTTCATCCCCGTAAGGAGCGTAGGAGCTTGGCTCTAGTCCCATCTGGGGGCTCTGGCAGCGAGCATTAGCTGCTTGCAGTTTCCAAGTGCACTCCCAGGAACTGCAAAGGAAGAGGAGAACAGATTAACTCGACGGTCGACATCGCTCCCGTAATGACTGGGCTTGGCACTGCAGCAGGCGAGTGTGGAAGCCGTGGGGCAAACTAGGGGAGCGGCACGCAGGGGGTGCAGGCAGATGGTGGCACCTGGAGCGGCGCGGGACGAATCACCCTCCAACCTCATCCACAAGTCACTGCGTTGCTTAATAACAGTTAGCACATGTAGAAACGCCTAATGCAGCTTTGCCATCTGCTGATGCTGCATACGGTTATAGCTGTAACTTGTTTAAAATAGTGCCAGTGCCCCTCCTCGAGTGGCAGATGGCCTCTGTGGACTGCCAAGCGCACAAGATGTTTCCCATCAAGTGGGCACCTCTGGGGCTGGTAGTCGAGCCAAGCAGAAAGCGAGCCTGCAGTCCAAAGCCGGAGATGGGGCTGTCTGGGGACAGGGCGGGATCGTTTCTGCTCGGAGGGAATTTCCAAACCTCCCAGCTCCCATTCCCCCAGAGCGGCAGGGAAGGGTCAGCGCTGCCTGCGCGGGCAGAGGCAGTGCTGAGCGGGGCCGAGCGCAGGAGCTTGCATGGCCCTGCCAGCCGAGGAAGCCCAGCGTTCAGCAGCGAGTGTGGCTGTAAGTGCTGCGCTGCCCTCGCCAAGCGGCCGCAGAGTTGCCCAATGTGCGTGGCAGGACAGGGCCACGAGACGGCAATGCCGGGAGGACAGGCTGGGCAACAAACCAATTGCTCTGCATGAACTTCTTGGAGAGCAAATAAAGCCCAGTGCAGCGGGAAACTGCCGGATGGCAGCCCAGCACGCAGGGCTCTGGGCGCAGCCAGCCCGGGAGCTGCCGCGTGCCCCATCCTCGCCCTGGAGCGTCTGAGACCTTGCTCCGGCCGGCTGCGCGTCGGAGACCTTGCTCCGGCCGGCTGCGCTGCCCAACTCCAGGGGAGAGGCAGCGCAGGCAGGGCTGCTGCGGAGCAGTGTGCTGCTCACCCAGGAAATGAAGCAGGAGGCAGTTTTCCGTGTGCCCTGCGGCTGGCGTGCAGGACGGGCAACCTCCGAGCTTCACTGAGAGCTCTGGCACTGCCAGCCAGGGCCACGCTCTTCTCTCTGCAGCTGGCAAGACAAAGCCCCATCAATGGCTGCCATCGTGTAGGAATAAAGGCGACAACATTCACTCTCTGAGGTCAAATGAAACAGAAAATGGTTTAAATCTCTTTATAATAACTGCGCAGTCGCCGATGCCCCAGATGGCCAGTGGCAATGGTGCTGGAACGAAGCCCGGCTGCAGCCCACCCGCTGCCTGCGGGATGGACACGGGCCCTGGGGTGCCGGCCCCCTCCCATGCCCACCGTGGGGTGGGGGACCTGCTGAGGAGTTGCTGGCCAGAGCAGGTCCCCTGCCCCAGCCCAGCTGTAGGGTGATTACAGCTACAGCAGCAAGATACCTGAATGGAGAGGGCTGCCCACAGCAGCGGTAGCAGGCTGGCAGCATCTTGAGTCAGCTGCTGCAGGGAGATGTGACCTGGGTACTGCCGGGCCTTGTAGCAGCACGTGCCTCGACACCGAGATGTGCACCAGAGCAGTCACCTCACGGCAGCTTTGGCTCACGTGTGCCAGTGAGGCCCGGAGGCCATTGGGCACTGCAGAGCACTGCCGTCGTCCTCCTGCCCCGGTGGCTTTGAACTTTTCACTGTGTCCCTGCTGCAACTCTGCTGAGTGCTGCTGGGGCAGGAGCACAGTGCTCCCCATGTGCTTGTCGTTACAGCCCACAGCTCATCCACAGGATTTTCAAATAAATAATTAGTCGCTTGTGTAAACACCAACTTGTTCTGCACTTCCAAGTCTGTTTGCTGCAAGCTGCTTTATAAACACTGTCAAGTGCTTAAGCTGGGCTGTTGGGAGTGTTTACCAGAACGGAGAGCTGTGCAGAGAGGGGATCCCACCTCAGCCCCGCAGCCTCCCTCCACACTGTGCTCATGTGCAGGGACCTGGGCACGGTGTGGGGCTCCCCTGCACGGGGGTGAGGCAGCACGGGCAGCCGGGCAAGGAGGGACCCTCCAGACAGACGGTGTGGTATGGCGCAGCCAGAGGACCCCTGGGATGGTGGCTGGTGTGAGCAGGGCAGCGTCAGTACAGCATGGTCCAAACTCTCCCCAAATTAGTGCTGAGCGCCAGCTGTGCTGGAGGGAGCACGGTGCCACCACCCCGGTCTGGCTGCCCCTTGTTTTTAATCACGGCGGGTTTGCAGGTGAAGCGCGTTCGCAGGAAGTACACGCTGAACCCGCTCCGTGTCCCGCAGTGTTTACACAACACTCACAGTTTAGGCAAAGTCCCCTTGGTGCAGGGACACCAGCAGGGATATTCTTAGGGAGCAAATACAGCCCCAGCGTGCCAAGAGCCAGCGTGAAGCTTATGCCGCCGCCACATATCCCATCTCTTAAGGCTTGTTCAGTGCAAGGGCAGGGAAGTGCCATGGGAAACCTTGAGGCCACAAGCACAAACCAGACAAGCACACACTTTTTCCTCCTTGTTTCCTTGCTTTCTATCCCAAAGAGAGCCTGGGCCTCCGGCCGCAGCTGCCCACTCAGCACAGAAAAGCTACTGGCATCCTGGATGCTGAAAAGCCAGTGCCAAGGCGGGTCACTAGCACGATCCCCATGTTTCAAAACCTCCCTGCAAGCACACAGTGTCTGCGGCGTGCCCACCGGCAGAGGCTGCAGCAGGAGGGCCGGGCTTGCAGCTCTTCCCACCCTCACCTCAGGACACAAATTCTGATTCTTTCTACTATTGCAGCCATCAGTCAAGCTCAGGTTGCTGCAAACAATTTCCAGTCTAAACATTAGCAGGATTTATGCCATTATCCCATCAACAGGAAGAATTTGGGGTAACCTGAATTGCTCTGAATTCATTTATGGAGAGACCTGGCCCCTGCATCTGAGATGACAGTAAGCCTTGTTTGCAATTCAATCAGGATAAATTGGTCCTTGGGAGCTCCAATACAAACCAGAAAATGTAAACCATCCAGATAATTTACCATTAGTCCTCCTACACACAAGGTGAGAAAGACCAACATTATATCCCTGGGATATTTGAGACCTAATCCACAATAACCAAATTGCTGATATATAGCCTCTTGCTGAATGTATCAGGCTATCCATAATGTAAACGGGCTCTCCAAAGGTTTACTGTCTGGGAGAGAAGGAGCAGATGCTTGTGCGAGGGCTGGAGGCAGGACAAAGTCCTATTACAGCAGCAGCAATAATGAACCCCCGGGAACTGCCAGGTCAGCTGCCAACAGCCGGCTGGACATCAGCTATGAGTGCAGGGGAATTTGGGTTTCCAGGTCCTGGAGCTGGATAGAGAATTTGAATTTCATCTTGGTAGTCTGTTTAGGGGGTGCAAATATGCAAGGAGACCAGGTTCCAGAAATGCCTTTGACTGCAGGAAGAGCCGTGGTTTTGCAGGGGTTCACCTGGTTTTGTTTGGTCTCAGCAGACTCCCAGCCCCATGCCCGGCAGGTTCGGGCACGGGTGGCAGCACCCGGGACAAATTGCCCCGAGCCCTCCCCAGCCCCAGGGCAGGCAGAGTCCAGCTCTGGGGAGGTTGTTTATGGCAGCAGCCAGCTCCACACTGCTGGCAGGTTCCCCAACCTGCCTTTGTGTAAACTTTCAACAAGCCCGTCAAATAACGATAATGGCACCCACATATCAGAGGCGCTGGGAGGGGAGCAGGAGGAGGAAGAGGAAAAGAGAGCGGGCTGCTAAAGAGAGCAGGGCCACGTGCAAGGATGGGGTCCGTGGGGCATGGGCAGTCCTCGCTCCTGGCACGATGAGCTGCTGCCTGACGTCTGAGCCAGCCACAGCAGGGCTGCAGGGGGACAAATCCCAGTGGGTACCAGAGGGGAGATAAAGGAGACTACGCAGGGGCAGGAGGAGACGTGCTCCTGCAGACCGGCACCGGGACCAGCTGTCCCATCTGAGGGTTGCACAGCTCCCCGGTGCCTGCCAAAGTCCCCGGGGCCAGCGTCAAGCAGTAGTAGAATGGGGCGATGCTGGCACAGCACCCTGCACCCTGCATCAGGAGGCACTGCTGCCATCATGAGCACCCCGCACCCTCCCCAGTCTGGCCCTGCCCCGGGAACGGCCAAGCTGCTCTTGCAGCACGGCTGAACCTCAAGAGGTGGGACATAGCCACCAGGAGAAGAGGCATCTTTCAAACAAGCAGAAGCCCACACAGGTGTTTATCTCGCTGCATGCCTTGCCCTCCCTTGGCAAAAGTCTCCGTCAGGCAAAATTTGCCCAAGACATCTAAAGCTTGCAGTCCCAGGTGTGGCTGGTGGAGCGGAGCCAGCAAGCTCCGAAGCGCACATCTTCCCTCGCTCCCCCAGCGCCTGCCAGGAGACGCGGGTGTCAGGAACCAGCCCCGGAGAGGCGAGTGCCAGCAAGCGTGCAGAGCGGGAGCCTCATCCAGGCGCGGTCAGAGACTATCACCAGAGCCGGCCTTGGCCGGCCAGCAGCAAGGGAGAGGGGCAAAGAGGTGAGCACCGAAGAGCGGCTCAGTGCCGGCTGCCTGCCCCGCGCCAGCTGCACGGCTGCCTCGGCACAAAAACCCTCCGGGGAGGAGGCAGAGGCAGTGGGTGAGGGCTGCACAGGCACTGCAAGCTGGGGTGCTGCAGGACCAGCAATACCAAACACCCCATCTGCC